TGCTGCCATCATCCCAGCCCTGCGCGCACCTCGGTCTGTGCCACCAACCCGTGATGGGTCAGGGGAACAGGCAGAGAGGTAACGCCGAGCAGGAGAGCACAGGGACACCATGGAGCCCGTTCCATGACACTGCTGTGCCCCTGAACGTGCTCTGCCGTGTTCCAGACCCCCAGCCGCAGGCTGTGTGTGCAGGCACACCGCCGAGCAGTGCTTGGCAGCAGGCTCCTGGTGAGGTGGGGAACGGGGAAGCAAATGCTCCCATGTCACACAATCCCAGCATGGCAGGGCTTGGCAGGGCCCTCTGGGGACCACCCAGCCCAACCCCCTGCCCAAGCAGGGTCACCCAGAGCAGGCTGCACAGCACCGCGGCCAGGCGGGTCTGGAACATCTCCAGAGAAGGAGACTCCACAGCCTCCCTGGGCAGCCTGGGCCAGGGCTCTGTCACCCTCAGAGGGAAGCAGTTCTTCCTCATGTTCAGACGGAACTTCCTGTGCCTCACCCTCTCAGCCTTCTCTTCTCCAGGCTGAACAAGCCCAGCTCCCTCAGCCTCTCGTCCCCCCAGAGGGGAAGGACATCTCACAGCTGGGGAGCTGGGCTGCTGTTTTGGTCTGACACAGGACCCTGTTCCTCTCTCTGCAGGGCGATGCCGGTGGGCCCCTGGCCTGTAGAGAACCCTCAGGGAAGTGGTTTCTAGCAGGAATCACAAGCTGGGGCTATGGCTGTGCCAGGCCATACTTCCCTGGTGTCTACACCAAAGTCACAGCCGTCCAGGGCTGGATTGCACAGAACCTCAAGCTCTGAAGCTGCATTTCGCCACTCAGGGAAGGCGACGGATGAGAGGAGCAACTGCCAGAGGACGCACTGACCCCTCCGCTATTGCACATTCGTTTTGGTCCTGCAAAGGGGTGCAGATGGCCTGCGGGTATGAAACAAATGCCAGCGTTGTGGGACCCACTGCAGTTGTGACACCAAGGCATTTGATAACTGCTTTGCATAGAAAGGTACAATTCTAGACATTTTCTATAAATAAATGAGGCCTGTCCCATCGTAAGACTTGACCAAACATCCTACGCATTAGAACGTGGCCTTTCTGGTCGGAGGGTGCCCGAACCATTGGCCAGAGATTCCTGGGGTCTGGCTGACCTCTGCCTACGAGTCGTCACCCCAAAGCCACGCCAAGAGCCAAGCGAACGTCGCCCCAGCCCAGAGTTACGCCCTCACGGCTCTGATGGAGCCGTTACGTTGTGCAAATGGCTTTTGGACAGGGAATGCTACTGCTCCCGCTCAGTGCCTGGTACGAGTAAGCTCAGTGGTGACCCCCTGGCTCACCATTTGACCACAAGGTAGGACTAAAACACGTGGGACTTAAGATTGCACAGGCCCTCATCTGTCTTATAAATCAGGACAGGCTTCTCACATCCCGGCATGCCCCCAGCTCCCTTTGCATAAGGGAACAGGTGATTAAATTAACAAAGATTAAGGCATAGCCACACAGACCACTGTTCTGGTTAAGCAAGGTGGGCAAAATTCAAAGTGCTAAGAAAGTGGCCCATGGATGCAGCTCCTTCAGTGGGAAGTCGGGTCCTGCCAGCCAGCATAAGGCACACAGACACCTTTGTTCATGAGAAAAAAACTGCTGCAGAGCTCACGTGTCGAGTCTTGGGACATGTCCCTGGACGTCTCCTCATAGATTCAACCACCAAAACCAAACAGCAGCTCGTACCCAACCCCGTTCCCAGTCTTTGGCACTTAAGCTCTGCATTTGGCTATAGCAAGAGGTTTCTTCTTTCCCAACCCAGCTGGCAGCGAGACCCACCACTTTCCCAGCTGGAGCACTAGCAAGGTGAGAGACCTGGCTTCCAGGCACAGCTCAGCTCAAGGTGGGTTCAGATCCGTGGCTGGAACACTTGTGGGATGCTCCCATCAATGAAACGGGACTGCTGCACAGCCGGCACCACCTAAATTCACACAGCCGTAAGGAAAAGTAAAAAGGGCCTTAAGCAAACGTGGCTGTAAAGCACTTTATTTTCAAGTAGTCACTCTGCCCAGTCTGGATGGTAAACTCCAGTTCAGTTTCAATTGGTCCAAATATCCAGTTATCTCCTAATAGTTCACCTTGTGTGAGAACTCTTTAGTCCCTTCATAGAAGCCACCACGTTGGGAGATTAAATTAAGTCAGGTTCTCCCACATCCCTCCAAATGTCCCAGCAGATCAGGAGACATCACCCTTCCAGTCTGTCCCCCCGCCCCAGCGAACAGTGAAATATCTTATAAAATACAGAAGAGCTTCAAAAGAAGGGATTTCAAAAATCTCCCTGCAGAGGCACGGACACCTTCAGTCTCCCAACGCTCTCCTCCCCCAGCTGCTGTGCACACTGCTGCCCACACAGCACAAACCAACCATCAACCGAGAGCAACGCAGAGCTCAGCCCCAAAGCAGCCCCTCTGTGGCAGAAGTGCTCCTCCTTTAAAAAAAACTGATGCCCAGAAGGCAGGCTCCGAGATGGCAGGTCTGTGCCAGACCCCAGCCAGAAGTTACAGAATCACAGAAAGTTGGGGGTTGGCAGGGCCCTCTGTGGGTCCCCCAGCCCAACCCCCTGCCCAAGCAGGGTCACCCAGAGCAGGCTGCACAGGACCA